TTGTGAGTTATAGGACATTATCCATACACATACAAGGAAGACATTATTCAAATATATGCTCATACAGCTAAAGCTAAGGAGGAGGAAATTTTTATAAATTTTTATAAATTTTGCAGTCCAAAATTGACCAAATGGGCAATCCAAATGTGTTAATGGTTATTAGTGGTTAGGATTCAAAAGTTGTAAACTTTGAAGGAAAAAGGGTATTGGAAATTATGGATTTGGTGGCTGCAAAGAGACCACAAATAGAATGATCAAATTTTGTATGTTCAATGACTTATTCATTGCAAATATCTTTCTTAAAAAACACAAATGGCAAGTTTACACAGCAGATAGAGTGCAAAGGAGTCAGGTTGTCTACATCTGTGGAAGAAATCACTCATGAAGCTCAATATCAGCAGTCAAAACTAGACCAGGTGCTGACTGTGGAAAAGATCATCGGTTACTCATGTGCAAGTTCAAATTGAAGCTGAAGAAAATGGAAACAAACCCACAAGGACCAAGATAGATAGATCTTTAGTCTATCGGCTTGAGTTTAGAAATCATCTTAAGAATTGCTTTGAAGTATTAAAAAATCAATGATCAAACACCAGATGAGTTTTGGCAGGAGATAAAGGACATCATCCAAGAAAAGAACAAAAGGTCACTAAAAAGTCAGAGAAAGAAAAGTCCAAAATGGATGTTAGAAGAGATTCTGAAAAGTGCACTGGAATATCGAGAACCCAAAACAAACGGAAGAGATACTGAAGTAAAAGAGATGAATAAAGAAGCGCTCTCAAAGGGCATTTCTGGAAGACAAAGTAGATTCTGTAACATGATCTACAGAGACTTAGAATTGGAGAATAAAGAGAAGTCACTCTATATTTTTCAAACTGAAGGAGCTGAAAAACAAATTCAAGCCTCGAGCAACAATACTTAGGGATGCTATGGGCAAAATCTTGAACGATCCAGGAAAAATCAAAAGAAAATACAGGGAAAACACAGAGTCCCTCTGCCAAAAAGAAATGGATATCATTGAAAATATTTCAAGAAGTACCATATGATCAAGAGCTAATAATAACAAAAGAAGATATTCTAGTTTCACTGAAGGCATTGGCAAAAAATAAGGCCTCAGGAATAGATGGGATGCCAAGTGAAATGCCTCAAATGACAGATGGAGCCCTAAGCATGCTCACCAGTCCATGACAGAAAATTTGGAGGACAGTTGCCTGGCCCACTGACTAGAAGATTCTATGTTTGTTCCCATCCTAAGAAAAGTGATACAACAGAATATGAAAATTATTGAACAATATCACTAATATTACATGCCAGCAAAATACTGTTGAAGATCATTTAAAAAAAATAGCTACAATAGTACATAGAGAACTGCCAGATGTCCAAGCTTGATACAGAAGAGGTCACAGCATCAGACATAATTGCTGATGTCAGATCGATCCTGGCTAAAAGCAAAAAGTATCAGAAGAATGTCTATTTGTGCTTTGTCGACTATGCATTTATGTGGATCATAACAAGTTATGGCTAACATTGAGAAGAATGTGAATTGTAGCACTTTTGAGGGTGCTTATGTGAAACCTATACCAAGAACAAGAGGCTGCTGTGTGCAGAGAGCAAGGAGATACAGTACAGTTTGAAACTGGAAAATGTGAGCACCAAGGTTCTATCTTTTCCTCATACCTATTTAATCTGCATGCTGAACAAATTAGTGGAGAAGCTGGATTCTATGGGAAAAAAATGTGGCATCAGGATTGGAGGAAGACTCATCAATAACCTTTGTTGTGCAGATGACACAACCTTACTTGCTAAAAGTGAGAAGGACTTGAGGCACTTGCAGCAGAAGGTTAAACACTGTAGCCCACAATATAGATTTCATCTCAACATTAAAAAAATAAAAAATTCTCACCATTGGAATAATAGACAATATCATGATAGACAAAGAAAGGATTGAGACTATCAACAACTTTATCTTACTTAGACCCACAATCAATGCAGTCAGTACCAGCAGTTAGGAAATCAGGTGGTATATTGCACTGGTAAAGTCAGTAGTCAGAGACCTCTCCAAATTATAGAGGAGTAACGAAGAGTTACTATGTTAACTATGTAAACAAACTCAGTTTGAAGACAAAGGTTGACTTGGTTCAGGACAGGGTCTTTTCAATCACTTGTTATATATCTGAGAGCTGAACAATGACTAAGGATGACAGAAGAATTGATACGTTTTAAACTGTGTGTTGCAGGTAAGTGTTGAAGATACTATGAACTGCCAAGAGAAGAAGCAATTAAGTCTTGGAGAAGATGCACCCAGAGTGCTCCTTTGGAGGTACAGATGATGAATTTTCTACATCCTACATACTATGGGCATGTTGCTAGGAGAGGTTATTCCTTGACGTAGGACAGCATACTTGGAAAGGTGGAGCATCAGTGGAAGAGAGGAAAACCCTCAACCAGGTGGATTGACACAGTGACTGTGGCAATGAGCTTTATTATGTCAGAGACTGTGAGAATGGCATGCGGTAGGACAGTGTTCAGATCCGTTGTTCATAGGGTTGCTATGTGAAATATTTGACTTGATGACACACAACAACAACAACAACAACAACAACAACAGATAATAGGCACCTTAGAAGAAAAATTTTCATTTTATTTTTGTGTCCTCATAGTGACCTCACATTGTACATGCTTTTCTTCTGAAAATTAATATATGATTAATCAAAAACACTAAAAGAGGTGATATTTAAATAAACAACAAAAATGTGTCCCTCAGAAAGTGTTTGATTATCTGTTTCTATAGAATCTAGATTATAAACATTTATTAACAATTTTTGTAGTTAAAGCTTACTTTTATTTGTAATAATTTTAAATATGAGCAAATTACAGACATACAAAAATTCATAATGATAATACAACAAGGAATGTTCTTGTTATGTTGGCACATAATTTGTATATGCTCAAAATTAGATAAATCAATCCAAACCCAATGCCATAGAGGTGATTTCAGCTCATGGAAGCATTCCATGTGGTTCCCAACACTTTAAATAATAACTTGGTGGGTTTGAACCACTGACTTTTGATTTGCATATAAAGCACATCATTACTAAGATCCCGCTACATCAGAAATTGCTTATTACAAATAGTAATTTGCTGCCTGAAAATATTCTGCAATACAGATACACACTGTTATTAGAAAACTTGAAAATATTTTCTATTATCTAAACATCTAATTTTTTTGGTTTTGTGAATTATACATTATTTATTCTAGTCTACCTTTATAATTCTTTGAAATAAACCTACCGATGAAAGCTATCCACCATTTTTAAATGGACACGAAGGTCTTTTTTTGTTAGATGATCTAACATTCTTGCATCTACCAGGCATTCCATAAAGTAACTCCTGTATTGAGGTAGCCCCAGACTGGGAAGCCATTCATTTCCAATCCACTCGTGGTTCATATCTCCATAAGCCAGGGTCTGTAGAAAAACCGGACACTAGAATTGTTTTATAGCAGTCAAGTTTCTGAGCCAATAAAATGAGGTGGTAATCGAAAGATATTGTCTAGTACTATAATTTACATTTAATTTGAACACTACATAGAAATATAGAACAAATACTATTTATGCTATAAATATTTTATTTATTTTGGCACAGAATTAAACTCTAGATAGACTTATCAGGTTTATTGCTGAAAGGAAAATATTATGCCCATTTTTTGTATTTTCAGAAGTAATAATTATGCTATTCTAATATAAATTTGTTGATAAGGAACTACTATTCACTTTATAATATCAGTTCTCAACTTCTGTATGTTAATTGCTGAAACTTGTCTCATATTTTATTTAGCTTTAATTTATTGACTCAGGTTAGAAAAATTCCCTTTTTTTCAGTGTTACTCTTGTTATTAATAGAGTGAAAACGTTGATGTAAAATAGGTATCTCATAATAAATGAAGAACAATGAGGTTAGAAAGAAACAGAGTCATGAAACTTAGTGTATCTATTCTTGCTACCTATTAAAGTATGCAGTTAGCGTTTCATAAATATCACGGAAAAAAAAGATCTTTTCTTGAAATCAGTAAAGGTCTTATTCCTAAATACGATTTAATTTAGATTTTTAAGTAAAACTCTAAGACTGATAATCTGATTATTTAACATAACAGTACAAACTGCTATTACCAAACATTGTTAACAGTTAAAATGAATACCAAATATAACCATCACTCTCATGCTATAATACAGGGTTGAATGCTCTCAATTTTACAATAGTTATTTATCCGACTTTAAATGCATAATTCTAACTGTTCACTTCAATATTTCTAATGCAGTGAGTCGTAGGGCCTCTTCCTTTTTTCTTAATAATTCAGATTCTTAAAAAGGGTCAAGGTCTTACAAAGATCAAACTCTGATACAGCTATAATTAACTGAATAGGGCATAAGAAAGCTACCAGAATGTTATTAGAATTAAAGCTTTTAGTTCTATAGAACATTTACAACTACTTTTGATACCATTTTTATTCTTTCAATTATCCAATTAGTGAAAATTCTGAAAAAGTATGTGAGGCCCTTGCAATGGTCTATGGTTTTCCAAACTGCATATGCTTGATCATATAAATGGAAGTGGTTGATGGTAACCAATGATGTTAACAAAATCCCACCAAATATAATCCCCAAAACTTTTCATTAGAACTTAAAGTATGTGAGATTACAAATAAACCTTTTTTTTCTCTTCGGATATAAGTTGCATAATTACTAAGCAAACATATCTGATGGTGGATAACCTAGAAATTATAGTCTTTTGTCACCTTTTCTTGAGGAAGTGGATAAGAAATATATTACTATTTCAAAAGCAGCAATACCCCAAACTAGCGATCGTCTTCTTTGTACAGGATCAGGGGTGTGTGTGAGCGTGTATTAAACCCAATACAGCAAAACCCCAACCTATGAATGTTATTACACACAATTTATTTTTCAATATCTGTATTGAATGTATAAACTGTATAAGATCTGATAGATTTAAAAATTTATTTTATTTTTATACTGCTCATTCTCATATCCTACTAAATGACTTGAATTTCTAAAGTGCATATGAATTTCCTACCTGGGCCCAGCTTCCTTCCTCAGATTCTTTCTGTGTTAGCAGCAGGGAATCATTAATAAAGCAGGCAAAGATAAATTAATGTCAAATGAACAGAGTACATTTTCCCTAGCAGAAGCAACATTTTTTATTAGGAAATGTTACTATTATATTAAAACATCAATAGATAAGTAAGTTAGATACACACACATTGATTAAGAAGGTCAAGGAAAGCCACATCATTTTTTTAATTAATTGTACTTTAAATATACACACATATGACACATGAGAAATTTGTGATTTTAAGCCTTTGATCTAATAATTCCCAACAATTTTGAGTTCTCAAAAGCACATAATTTACTATATGTTAGATTAACAAAATTTTCTGATTCAAATATATATATGTTGCAATTGTATACTATTGAGTCAGAACCAATCCAGCTGACCCTCTAGCAGGTTTTCAAAGGCAGTTAATTGAACGGGAAGAGATTGTCTAGCTTTCTCCCTTGGAGCAGTCTGTGGATTTAAATCATATAGCTTTGGGTTGGCAACTCAACCACTCACCACTAAGCCTCCAGAGTGCCCTAAAAGCTATAGCTACCACTTAAAATAACCTTCTGTGGTAATTAAAGATTTCAGCAACAGCCACTTATTAAAGCAAAACCAGACCTAAGTCAAACCAACTAAATTAAAAAGAAATTGGTATATCACACTGACTCATAAACTTCTAGATAATATTCCAAATAGAGAACTATATATTTAAAACCCCCCCATGAGTTCTCTTTTGAAGTTAAAATGCATAGCATGTCAACTTTGGACTTTACATAAAAATGATTATATGTATTATTGTTACAAGTCAAGAACTATAATCAGAGTCACCAAGAAGTTTTTAAACCTGTTTTTTTTAAATATCAAATTGTCATGATATTTTTATAATTTTTATACATTTTTAATTGTAATTATTTTATAAATGTTATAACTTTTTTGTTAAACCAAAAAACTTGAGATAGTCAAGTACAAAGTACCAGAAATTATTTTCAAAATGACTCTTCAATGCAGACTATTAATTTGTAAGATTAAGTTTGATCATATGGATTACCTATGAAGTGATAAGTATGGGTCACAGGCTACTCTATATGTCACATAACAACAACAAAAATTTCCAAATTTATAATATGTGTAATTAAGATGTATTAATATTTGTTACTGCTTGTCTTTTTACAAACTTTTGTGCTTCTTAGAAAATCTAAAACTAAAAAAAAACAAAAAACAAACAAAAAAAAAACCCCAAAACAAAAAACAAAGAAAATCTAGGACTGTTTCATTAAAGAAATACCAAGTGAGTTAAATAAAATAAAGTTGTAATGAATAATGTTAGTTAA